TCCGGTTATTCTCCTTTCAGTGTTTGTTGCATCTGGAAGATGAACAGTTTTATTTCAGATGGCCGAGAGTCATCTGATAACTAAACCCAGTATGATGCAGTACATGCTGCTGAGACTTTCCCAGGTCATCAGGGCCATTGGCTGTCACTTTAACATCAGAGCTGCATATGTTACATGTAATTACTTACGGGTTTTGTCTCTGCCCTTTTTTCCTGGTAGACTTCTTCCAGAAGCACAATGTTGCAGTGATGACTGTGAGGGAGCTGTTTGAGTTTATTACTGATCCTTCTGTCACAAGCGAGAATCTTGATGACTATCTGTCTAAGGTAAGACCTCAAGGCCTTGGTGCTTATGTAGGAAGACTTGAACAATGAAATCGCATCTAGTTCAAGCTCCTTCATCTCATTTACTCTACATCTGGCTATTGAAGGAGGCTGGTACATGCCATTGTGTTATGCTAGTGCTGCAAAACCACGCACAGGTTTCTTCCAGTTACACTGTTACAGGATGACAACAGTTTAGTTCTACGTTTTCTCAAAAAGTCTAATTATGAAAACTCAGATGGCTATTTCAGGTGCTACTAAACCCAGGATGCTTTAAATTAGTTCTCCTTGTCAAAAAGAAAGAAGGTCTGCAGAAATAGAACCGTGTGTATATAGAGAATGGGGTTAAGAATGCAGATTTGAGCAGGGTGGGCTGAGGGAGGAAGGGAATGACTTGGGGCAGTGTTACTCCAAGGTACACGGTCTTGCTAGCCAAATATAGCGGCTGGCAGAACACATTGATTGTAGGAGGAGGTAAACTTCCTCAGTGCTGCTAGCAGCACCCATATTTAATCTCTAGCTGCCAGTCCTCTGCTCCCAGTTAGATGTTTCTTTAAAAAGCAGGGGGGAAGCTTTTTAAGTTAATGCAAGAGAAATGAGGGCCACATATACATGCTCGGAGTGGAGATTTGATGTGTCGTTCTTGGTCAAGACCACATGAGCATGGTCCACATACCAGTACAGCACAGGGATTTCCAGATGTTGTGTACTTTCTGTCATATTGGAGGAGGCAGAGCCGTGCTACGCAGTTCCCCTTACTTGTGCTCCTCTGGCTTGCTCAGTGTAGGTGAGAAGAGCCAAGTTCCAGGACTGAGCACTGCTCACTGTATCCTCCTTGCGCTGTTATGTCCTGTAGTCATGCTGGGCATGCCATAATTTGCTCTGGAAGGAGCAGCAAGCATATTTTCCCGCTGTTAATAGAGCAGATCTGCAGTTCTAAGTGCGCTTTGCAGAACTGTTGATTACCATTAGGTGTCGCTGAAGGCATTGCCATAGGGAAGGCTGGAGGATTGGTGGGTGACAGCGTGGAGTACAGGGAGAAACACAGATGGGAACGGTTAGTTGGATTAAGTGATGTGATTCTAAGGAGTGATAACTTTGTCTTGTTTTATATTTGTTTAGGCAATGGAAATAGCATCAAAAAGAACAGAGGAGGAAAGATCCAGTCAAGATAAAGTGGATGAGGAAGTAAGTGAGGATTTTTGTTCCTGCTGTGAAATTAGTATTAACCTTGCCTCTCCTAAACGATGAAAAATGTTCTGCTTTATTTGACAAAATGTACAGTTGATAAGCAAAACGTTGTTTGTGATAGGGAGTTGTCTTGAACTAGTTGAGATGTGAAGTATTAAGGGATGCCATGTGTAAAAGCTGACAGTGATAAGGTGTTAGAAGGCAGATACTCCAATTTCCTAAACCAATATGTTTACTTGTAGCTAGGTCCCTTGATGTATCTTCCAGTTCAGGTTCGGTTAACAAAAACACTGAGGGGAGAGATCTGATTGTGGCAGTATTTCTGGACCAGTGATACAGAAGCAGGATATTTGGATACATGCGTTGACCAAATTGCCTGGCTAGCTCTAGTCCCAGCCTAATTCCGTTCTTCCATGTACTGTTTTTCTCCCTTGCCTTTACATTATGTGAAGCCATTTCAAGTCCATTACAGAAAACTTAATGTTCTGGAAAGGCTTGATGTAAAGATAAAACAATTTCTATCTTACTCTTACCTATCTGTTCCAGAAGTGGGTTTTTTTTAAAAAAAAAAAAAAAACAAAAAAACCCCCACAAAACAGCAAACAAACAAAAAAACAACTCGATGTTGCACAGAGTTTGTGTCAGTGAGAACCTGTTTGTACTGGTTCACATGGTGTTTATCTTTGGAGTCAATACTACTTGATTTATCAAAGACTTACTTTCTCTCTTGGAGCTCTCTGGGTTTTACTGACTGCTTCTGACTCAAGCTTGGCTCAGGAAGGATTTGTTTGTTTGTTTCCTAAGATATCCTCAGCATACAAATTCTGAGCTATTGGGTCAGATGCTAGTGTTTTGTTGCAAGCCTGTTTTTTTGCAAACTGATTATTCTTCTGCTTATATAAAGGTACTGACCTGAAGAGAGTTTATTTCACTTAGACTTCTCATGTCACCATGGGTAGTTTGTGTTACTTCTTTCACAAAAAAGTAGAGCTGATTAAGGGCAAGCTCTGTGGAGGTGAGAGCCTCTGTTCATTGCACAGCACTCAGTCTAGCAGTTATGATCGTAAAGCACACTGGATTTGTGTGGGGTTTGAACTGATACCATGAAAAAGAGAAGCAAAATACTTCTGTCTGATCTGGCGGGGACTTAAGTTTGCTGGAGGGCTATTTCAAAGAGATGGCGTGACAAATTTTAAGTATGTTGTTAGTACTGCAGCTAGGTTTTACTGTACTGTACCGCTGCAGGAACCTTGTTTGAGTTGGACTGTAGGTTGAAGCAGGTATTATTATATACAGAGAGCAAGTTCTAACAGTGCGTTTTAATGGACTTGCCCCCTGAAGGCATTGTAAACATCACAATAAAAACATTAGAGGAAATCCATAGAATATAAAACCTTAGGACTCAAAGACGAAGTTAGAAGGACTGCAGAAGTTTGCAAGTGGCCTGGTGGTAGTCGTGCTAAGGAGGGAGCCTTATTACTCATGATCTATCAATAATGTGTAGGTCGCATGTTAAGTCTGCTCCTGCGGAAAAAAAAAAAACAAAAAAGATACGCCGCAGTTCAAATGGTAGTGGATGCCTGCTGTGTTCGTTTGTACCTTCTCTGAGCCGTGAGATTCTTCACGATTATTCTCTTAAGGATGCATAACTGGGAAGGAAGAACACCACAAAACCATATGTAAATGTCTGTGCTTCCTTTCACTCTGCTAGGTGTTTAAGAAGGCTTACATACCTCGAACTTTGACTGAAGTTAAAAACTACGAAAGAGATGTGGATATAATGATGAAACTGAAAGAAGAGGATATGGCATTGAATGTTCAGCAAGATAATGTGAGTAGACATGCTGAGGCATTGCAAAAAAGGAGGGAATATGAATTATTCTTACTGGAAACTGATAGCAATAAACGAAACCAGAAGCCTTGTTACCAAGGCATGGAGTACTGAATCTAGTTTCATACTTCAAAAATCACCTGGTTATTACTAATGCTAACATGGTGTGGTTTTTCCTGGGTTTTTTTTGTGTTTGTTTTTTGAGATAATGATTTTTCTCAGCACATGAAGATTTAAGACTCATTGATAACACAATTTTCTTTCTCTCTCCCTGGGTAGATTCTCTACCAGACTGTGACAGGACTGAAGAAGGATTTGTCTGGCGTTCAGAAGGTGAGAGGGTCTTTTTGAAATCCTGTGTTCAGAAAAGCGCTTATAAGGAGTACAGAGAATGCCTTGTCTTGCAGCTGACACCGTGAAAGAAGCCTCTTGTCTGCAGAGTGACCATTTATGTCTGGGATGGGTCTGGCATGACAGCATGTCTGCACACACACGAATTGCTTCCCTGCAATGTGGCTGATGCTGGGCTGCTTCAGAATGAAATGATAATCCTTGCTATGGCCATGATCTCTAAAGTTAAGGTTGAGAAGAGGGAAGTTGTTTTCCAGTTACGGAAAATGTGATTGATTTAAATTGCAGCATGATTACAAGTTTTGAAATGTTCAGGGTAGCTTTGCTGTAATCACTGTGTAAAGAACAACCCTGCAGTTTGAGGCATAAGATATTATGTCTTACTGTATTTGAAGTACTTGACAGTAACAGTTCTGTAAAGTAAGTTGGATGAGAAGTTGGGCACAGATCAGTCTGTAGCAATATAATTCAAGGCAGAATCCCCATGTGGATTCCCCCTCCTTCCTTTATAAATGTTACCTAGCAGTGGTGTAGACTCTGTTTTAAAATGGAAGTGTAAATATGAATGGGATCAGGCTGTGGCACAGTCTCCAGGCTTGTTTAAGAATAAGTGAGTTTTCCAGTGTGGATATTTGGGCTTGCAATAAAGCCTACATACAGTGCCCCCAAGGTAGGTTTGGGTATGATCCAAGTATAATTAAAAATTGGCTTCCAGATATGTTAGCAAATCACCATTTAATGTATGGAAATTAGTTTGGGAGCGCCAGTTCAGCTGTGCTGTGAGCCCTGACCTAAAAGATTCTGTGTTGTACACACTATGTTTCCTGTTCTTAGTTTGGATTAACCTACTTTTCATTCTTTTTCTTGGAACTCAGTGATGGCTCTAGTCAGGGAGATGGCACAAGCTCGCTCAAGGGTTTCTTTGTAGCAGATTCTGTTTTAGTTTGTATGTGTCTGTATATGTGTGTGAATATATATATATAAAAAAAATATATATGTATGCGTGTGTGTGTATTGTAATTAGGCTTCTTTGTTTTGATGTAGTTCTCTCTTGATGTATCTTGCAGATTCCTGCACTTCTTGAAAAGAAGTCAGATGAGTCAGAAACGGACTCTGATGATGATGGCAGCTCAGAGGGTTCTGATTCGTGCTGTGAAGAATCTGTACATCCCAAAGATAAACCTGCTGAAGTTAGCATGGACAAAAAGGTCAGCTGGTCAGGAATTGTTTATTTTTCCCACCTCTGCCTAAGTGACAGGAAAAAAAACAAACTTAGTTCTGAGTGGTTCTTGCTGCTTCTTGTCTGAAACAAGCTATGGACTTTTCCTGTTGTGGAGAATGAGAGCAGAGAAAGTGAATTTCATTGTGGATGCTTTATTAATCGTGTGTTTATGTAGAGGAACATGTCACATAGCTCTTTGTAGCCTAGACGAAGCTAGAAGAGATCTCTGCAGGGATTTCTAAGGCTATGCAAAGCAGAATTTAGTGAAGCCCAGGCAGCTCTTCTGTGCCTCTGCTGCTCTTCCAGGCTTTGGTGTTCAGGGTTGTGGTCATGGTCCCTGATTAACCTCCTTTTGCCCAGGGAACCGAGACCACTTGATCTATAGAACTGGAGACTGGGCGACAATGTTTGTACCGCAGTGGCTTTTGCAGTACCATTAGCACAGAGTGGCTACCTTGGCTGTGGGCAAGAGATGTAACACAGTTGTGCAAAGGGATTATGGTTTGGGTTGTTGGTTGGTTTTTTTAAGGTTTAATTTTCCAAACGGCAGAACAAGTGTGCTCTGTTTCGGTGAGGCTCTTCTGCAGGGTATCACCCGTGTGAGAGCCTTTTTGGCAGCCTTTTGGATGCTGTGCAAAAGAGGATGGAACTCGCTGGGCTTAAGGGGTTCAAGATTTGTGGGCTTGCTTGTTAGTTTTTTCTTGCTAGAGAAGGCAAGATAATACATTCCGTATCTGTCAAATAAAAGTGCAGTGCTCTACTAGCCACTTTGTACCAATCTAGAGCTGTTGCCTGTTGGATGTGAAGCAGGGAAGTCTTGGTCACTTCTCATCCTTACGGACAGGTTTTCATTTGGACTTCTCTTTGCATAAGACGAGGTTTTTGGTAACCTGCATGTTCAGCTGTAGGTTGAACAACTGATTAGCAGCAATTACTTCCACACCCCCCCAATTAAGCTGACTTTGCATTTTCTAGTTGAGTGTAGTCTCTTCACTGTCTGGCACAAATTATAGGATCCTCTGCTACTGCAATACACTTTCCTGTCAATCCTGACCGTGATCAGCTTGCTCTGAGTTACCAGCAGTTACTGGATCAGTATTTTTGCAAGGCATATAGAAACACGTACGATAGTAGCCCTGTGGGTAGCAGAAAACCTGGCTCAGGCATCCTGTTGTAACCTTAGGTGTAAATAGCATGAGTTAAGAGTGCCTCTTGCTCCCTTTCTTTAAAGGTTGCATGAAACTCAGGTTTTAACTAGTTTGAATTTTGCCTTGTCATTACTAGTGTGCAACTCTTGGCTCCACCCCCAGCCTATACTTCCTTTTTTCCTTTCCCGTCACCATTCCTACTGACTTTTTTTTTGCCTCACTGTTTCTTCCTCTCAATAGCCTCATTTTTATGTGGTGTTAATTAACTTGTTAATATTACAGTTGATTGACCTGCTCAAAATCTCTTGTTCCTTCTGGCTTTAAATGAATGGTGTTTGGTTTTTTTATAGGAAAGGAAAAAGATGGTTAAAGAAGCCCAAAGAGAGAAGAGAAAAAACAAAATCCCAAAGCATGTGAAGAAGCGGAAAGAAAAGACTGCAAAAATGAAGAAAGGCAAATAAAATCAGCTTTGGCTTGGGAAAAGGGATGGTTTGTTGTGGGCTGTTTAGTCACCATCATTTTTTCTATTTTTAAAATTAAAAATAATTTATTTATATACATACAGTATTAACTGTGAGGGTGGTTTTGTTAATAACATGGTGTAATTCTTTGAACAAACTATATGCCATGGGTTTCTCCATAGGAAAGAATGAGTTTAACACTTGTTTGTGTTTAAAATCCTTTACTCGTGCAGGTTTAACCTGTTGTTAAATGCGCTTTGGTTAGGTCCTGGGTTCTTAACTCCCCTGCCTTCCACTGCAAACAAGCTAGTTTGGTTTGTTCCAGAGCAGGGGTTTGATTCACACAGATTCTTGCAGGAGGGGGAATTGCAATTGAAAGGCCCATACCTTCCTCAGTGTACGGAAGCAAATTGAGCCAGCTGCCCTCTGCAGGCTGTCACAGTCACCCGGGGATAGCCCTGCAGGCTTTGTGCCTTTGCTGCCTCCCCGTGCTTGCATCACCTTTCATATTTTCTTACTGAAAGCTGAGTTTTGTGATTTGGGAGGCAGCTGCCCTCATTGCCCAGTGCCCTTCTGAAGCAATCAGACAGGCGTACCCAAACAGACCAAAGCCTGAATTCTTTTTTTTTTTTTTTTTTGCTTGGATCCCAACCTAGGGCACTGTTGCTCTTAAGAGTATGATGAACCAGCTATTTTGTAAGCTGGTCAAATGAGTATTTGCAGTCAAGATTAATCATGTGTGTTCGAATTCAAGGCTGTGTGAAGGCTTGTGGCAGGACCTCTCTGTGATATGGCTCAGCATTACCAGTGCATGTTGTGCTAAGGTGCCCCAGCTCTTTGTCAGGGGGAAGTCGACGGAGCTCTGCTTGTAAGTGACCCACTTGGGCTGGGGCAAAGGCGCTGTACTGAGGACAGACCACCTTCTCTCTTGGCAGCTTCTTTGTGTACTGAGGCTGATGAGTCTTGGTAGAGGTATCCTCCTCATGCTGTAGCACATCAGCTGTCTCTTCCCACTGCCTGCAGCTTCAGAACTCCCCTGTGCCAGCATAGAGAAAGGTTCTGATGCCAGTAAATGTCTTGGTATGTTCTCCCACGTTAGGGGTGGAGTTGATGCCCTAGGGATTTACACCCACAGGACATAACATCCTCTGCTGATAGAGGACAGCTTTTATCCATCGATGGATATTCAACAGTGATGGTTTGGGCAGGGTAGAGCTTCCTTCTTTCTGCTTCTCACCTCCCACACCCAAGAGAGAGGTGATGGTGGCCAATTGCATATGTGGTTGCACTCCCCAGTTTGATCTTCATAACCTCTTTGGTGCCTTTGGCTAGAAATCTGGTAAGAGAGGAACTGGTCAATGCTTCCAGATTTCTCTCTCCCTGTGCTCCCTTTCTCCCTATCCATACGGGGACTGACAGCACTCTTGTGCACAGGATGCATAGAAGTGTAGACAGTATTGCTGGAGCATGTTGGGAAGCCAGGCTGATACTTCCTCAGCATGTGGAGATGTTTGTTGGGAGACAGATGAAATATCTGCGTTTTGGAAAACGGCATTACATCAGGTGCAAGAAAGGGGGCAACCTCTAACTTGGTAGTGAAGGGAGGAGGGAGGTGCAAGATCCAGAGATGAGGGAGTACTGCTGATGGCCGTTTGTCTTAACGCCAAGGGCTCACATGTTGCCAGGTGTATGGGCACATTATTTCCTGATTCTCCTTGCTGTCAGGAGAGCTTGTGTATGACATAATAATCAGGCGGAGGTGGCCTTGGTGATGGCTGCCCTTACCTGACTGGTAGTGTTTATCGATGCAGTGCTGAGGGTGACAGAAACAGCAACAGCTCTGCACACTTTGCCCTTGAAGTGCTGTTGTGTCAGGGATC